CTCTGGATCTATGACAGGTGAGTATAAGACTCGGAGGAGGGGATGGAGGGGAGCCGATATCTCTTTGGATCTATGACAGGTGAGTATAAGACTCGGAGGAGGGGTTGGAGGGGAGCCGATCTCTCTCTGGATCTATGACAGGTGAGTATAAGACTCGGAGGAGGGGTTGGAGGGGAGCCGATATCTCTCTGGATCTATGAAAGGTGAGTATAAGACTCAGAGGAGGGAAGCTGATATCTCTCTGAAACTATGACAGGTGAGTATAGGACTCGGAGGAGGGGTTGGAGGGGAGCCGATATCTCTCTGGATCTATGACAGGTAAGTATGAGACTCGGAGGAGGGGTTGGAGGGGAGCCGATATCTCTCTGGATCTATGACAGGTAAGTATGAGACTCGGAGGAGGGGTTGGAGGGGAGCCGATATCTCTCTCGATCTATGAAAGGTGAGTATAAGACTCGGAGGAGGGGATGGAGGGGAGCCGATCTCTCTCTGGATCTATGACAGGTGAGTATAGGACTCGGAGGAGGGGATGGAGGGGAGACGATACCTCTCCTGGATCTATGACTGGTGAGTATAAGACTCGGAGGAGGGGATGGAGGGGAGCCGATATCTCTCTGGATCTATGACAGGTGAGTAAAAGACTCGGAGGAGGGGATGGAGGGGAGCCGATATCTCTCTGGATCTATGACAGGTGAGTAAGACTCGGAGGAGGGGATGGAGTCCCCTTGCACTGACTTCACCGCTGCACACTTCTCTTCTAGAACTGGAGAGGACCCCGCCGCTGGACAGCCAATAGGAAGTGTCCGCATCATGTAGACAGTAATGAGGGACCTGTAAAAAAACCCGAAGACTCAGCAACATGTGACCGTAGCAAGTAAACAAAACATTTAGGTTTTTGTAAGTAGCAGTTAGAAGGAGGCGGGGATAGGGGGAGCCTAGAGATTAACTTTTAAAGGATAACTCCACTTTCATGGAGAAAAGATTAGCAAATAAAAAATGACGTACAGAACACTCCCCCAGAAATGTCATTTTCTGCTTGTATGATTGGGTCCCTGATTTCCCAAAACTCTGCAATGAGATACAAATCAGATTTAGGGTATCCACTGAAACAAAAATGTCATTTTTGGTGAGATATATTCCCAAAGAGAATCCATGTCTAAAGGGATGCAGACCCTGCCACATTCCTTCTTAGAACCCTGCAAGTGCAGCTGCTGATTGATAATTATACAGTCCCTCCCATTCAGTCTGCACATGGACACAGAGAAACAAACAGCTATTTCTTCAGCATAACAAAAGGTAGGAATCTGCAACAAACTTGTTGAAATCCCTGCAACGTACATGGATCGCCCAGAGGGGGAGGGGGTTTAATGAGTCAACCACATGACACTGATATCTGCGGTGCCCCGAGGTTATCTTTATTATTCTGATAACAATAGAGAGGAGTCTTGCCTGATCATTCCCACTTCTGTCTCCTTCCAGCTGTTTGTAACCGGGAACCAGTACCACTTCCTGCACAGCCTGGCCTTATTGGCTGTGCCCCACTGCAGGCGCCCTCTGCTGGTAGGTCAAGGACTATGCTGTAATTACATGATTTATACGGATATTCCACCCAGAACTGATATTCCAGTGTTTGGTGGAGGCTGCCATAGGACCCCAGAACTCCACGGTGGGTGGGACTCTGAATCCTTCTCTACTGATATACCCAGAAAGATATGTTTTCTTACTGGAAATCACCCTGTACCCCACCTTCTGCGTCACCTCGTCTCTGTCTGCTTCTCTATGTTATACATTTATTGATCTCCCCTCACCCCTGGAACTCCCCATCCCTCTGTATTACACCTTATACCTGTCTCTGATCCACCCTCACCCCCTGGAACGCCCCGTCCCTCTGTACTACACCTCATACCTGTCTCTGATCCACCCTCACCCCTGGAACTCCCCATCCCTCTGTATTACACCTTATACCTGTCTGTGATCTCCCCTCACCCCTGGAACGCCCCGTCCCTCTGTACTACACCTCATACCTGTCTCTGATCCACCCTCACCCCCTGGAACTCCCCATCCCTCTGTATTACACCTTATACCTGTCTCTGATCCACCCTCACCCCTGGAACTCCCCATCCCTCTGTGTTACACCTCATACCTGTCTGTGATCTCCCCTCACCCCTGGAACTCCCCATCCCTCTTTATTACACCTTATACCTCTCTCTGATCCACCCTCACCCCTGGAACTCCCCATCCCTCTGTATTACACATTATACCTGTCTCTGATCTCCCCTCACCCCTGGAACTCCCCATCCCTCTGTATTACACCTTATACCTGTCTGTGATCCCCCCTCACCCCTGGAACTCCCCCGTCCCTCTGTGTTACACCTCATACCTGCCTGTGATCCCCCCTCACCCCTGGAACTCCCGTCCCTCTGTGTTACACCTCATACCTGCCTGTGATCCCCCCTCACCCCTGGAACTCCCCGTCCCTCTGTGTTACACCTCATACCTGCCTGTGATCCCCCCTCACCCCTGGAACTCCCCGTCCCTCTGTGTTACACCTTATACCTATCTCTGGTCTCCCCTCACCCCTGGAACTCCCCATCCCTCTGTATCACACCTTATACCTGTATCTGGTCTCCCCTCACCCCTGGAACTCCCCATCCCTCTGTATTACATCTTATACCTGTCTCTGATCTCCCCTCACCTCTGGAACTCTCCATCCCTCTGTATCACACCTTATACCTGTCTCTGGTCTCCCCTCACCCCTGGAATTCTCCATCCCTCTGTATCACACCTTATACCTATCTCTGGTCTCCCCTCACCCCTGGAACTCCCCGTCCCTCTGTGTTACACCTTATACCTATCTCTGGTCTCCCCTCACCCCTGGAACTCCCCATCCCTCTGTATCACACCTTATACCTGTCTCTGGTCTCCCCTCACCCCTGGAACTCCCCATCCCTCTGTATCACACCTTATACCTGTATCTGGTCTCCCCTCACCTCTGGAACTCTCCATCCCTCTGTATCACACTTTATACCTGTCCGTGATCTCCCCTCACCCCTGGAACTCCCCATCCCTCTGTATCGAACCTTATACCTGTCCGTGATCTCCCCTCACCCCTGGAACTCCCCATCCCTCTGTATTACACATCATACTGTGCAGGAAATGTGTATTTGCTCCCCTGCTGATGCTGAATGTTCGCCCCTCACACAGAAATGATCGGTCTAACAATGAAATGTTCGGTGTAACACTGAGAGACAGAATACAACAACAAATTCAGCAGAAATGCGTCTAACAAATGATGACTGATCTGCATGTTCATGAGGGAAAGAAGGATTTGATCCCCTTCACAAAACATGACTTAGTACTTGGTGGCCAATCCCTTGTTGGCAATCACAGAGGTCAGACATTTCCTGGAGTTGGCCCCCAGGTTCGCACACATCTCAGGAGGGATTTTGGCCCACTCCTCTTGGCAGATCCTCTCCAAGTCATTAAGGTTTGGTGGCTGATGTTTGGCAACTCGAACTTTCAGCTCCCTCTACAGATTTTCAATCAGATTAAGGTCTGGAGACTGGCTAGGCCACTCCAGGACCTTAATGTGCTTCTTCTTGAGCCGCTCCTTTGTTGCCTTGGCCGTGTGTTTTGGGTCATTGTCATGCTGGAACACCCATCCACCACCCATTTTCAATGCCCTGGACGAGGGAAGAAGGTTCTCACCCAAGATTTGATGGTACATTGCCCTGTCTACCGTCCCTTTGATGCGGTGCAGTTGTCCTGTCCCCTTAGCAGAAAAACACCCCCAAAGCAGAATGTTTCCACCACCATGTTTCACAGTTGGGATGGTGTTCTCGAGGTCATAGGCAGCATTCCTCCTCCTCCAAACACGGCGAGTTGAGTTGATGCCAAAGAGCTGGATTTTGGTCTCCTCTGACCACAACACTTCCACCAGTCCTCCTCTGCATCATTCAGATGTTCAGTGGCAGACTTCAGACGGGCTGGACATGTGCTTTCTTGAGCAGAGGGACCTTGCGGCGCTGCAGGATTTCAGTCCTTGTCGGCGTAGTGTGTTACCAATTGTTTTCTTGGTGACTGTGGTCCCAGCTGCCTGGAGATCATTGACAAGATCCTCACGTGTAGTTCTGGGATGATTCCTCACTGTTCTCATGATCATTGACACTCCACGAGGTGAGATCTTGCATGGTGCACCAGACCTAGGGAGACTGACACTTGTTTTGTGTTTTCTTCCATTTGTGAATGATTGCACCAACTGTTGTCACCTTCTCACCAAGCTGCTTGGCCATAGTTTGGTAGCCCAGTCCAGCCTTGTGTAGGTCTACCATCTTGTCCCTGACATCCTTGGACAGCTCTTTGGTCTTTGCCATGGTGGAGAGTTTGGAATCTGATGGTTTGATTGCTCCTGTGGACAGGTGACTTTTATACAGGTAACACAATGAGATTAGCAGCACTCCCTTTAAGAGACTGCTTCTAATCTCAGCTTGTTACCTGTATGAGAGACACCTGGTAGCCAGAAATCCTGCTGAATGATAGGGGATCAAATCCTTCTTTCCCTCATGAACATGCAGATCCGTCATCATTTGTTAGATGCATTTCTGCTGAATTTGTTGTTGTATTCTGTCTCTCAGTGTTACACCGAACATTCCATTGTTAGACCGATCATTTCTGTGTGAGGGGCGAACATTCCATTGTTAGACCGATCATTTCTGTGTGAGGGGCGAACATTCCATTGTTAGACCGATCATTTCTGTGTGAGGGGCGAACATTCCATTGTTAGACCGATCATTTCTGTGTGAGGGGCGAACATTCCATTGTTAGACCGATCATTTCTGTGTGAAGAGCGAACATTCACCATCAGGGGGGAGCAAATACACATTTCCTTCACTTTATACCTGTCTGTAACTCCCCCATCCCTCTGTATTAGTGTCTGCTGTATGTTTGCTGTTTGTGTACTCTATGCAGTAACTTGCTTTGTGTCTGTTTGCCCCCCCCAGGCGGGATCTCTGCTGACATCCGGGATTGTTCTGTTCTGCGGGACGTTCTATTACCATGCCTTGTCTGGGGACTCCTCTCTTACCAGGGCGGCACCTCTGGGAGGCTCTCTTCTCATACTGGGCTGGGCTGCCATGGCCCTCTGACAACTCTGACCGATCCTTATCCCCGACCTCGTATGTAATATATTATCCCCCTACACGTTCCAATCACATGTCTGTATCCTGTATATGATGTCAAATCAATCAGATATTTTATAATAAATCTATTTTTGCCTGAACAGCCTGTGACACAGGATGGTATGTTTTACTTCATCAATATAGTGCCATCATATACCGCAGTGTTGTACAGAGATCACTGAGCCAGTCCCATCAGTCTCTGTACCAGAGGAGCTTACACTCTAATGTCCCCTCCCCCACAGTCCCATCAGTCTCTGCACCAGAGGAGCTTACACTCTAATGTCCCCTCCCCCACAGTCCCATCAGTCTCTGTACCAGAGGAGCTTACACTCTAATGTCCCCTCCCCCACAGTCCCATCAGTCTCTGCACCAGAGGAGCTTACACTCTAATGTCCCCTCCCCCCCACAGTCCCATCAGTCTCTGCACCAGAGGAGCTTACACTCTAATGTCCCCTCCTCCCTCAGTCACATCAGTCTCTGCACCAGAGGAGCTGACACTCTAATGTCCCCTCCCCCACAGTCACACACTATTATTATATATTTATATATACTATATTGCCAAAAGTATTGGGACGCCTGCCTTTATGCGCACATGATCATGCATTTATATAGCTCTGACCTTATACTATATTGTCCCCGCCCTCCCAATCATGTGATTCAGGTGTTCCAATCCCCTCCATATCATGTGATTCAGGTGTTCCAATCCCCTCCATGGACACAGGTGTATACAATCCATCCCCTAGGCATGCAGACTGCTTCTACAAACATTGGTGAAAGAATGGGTCGCTCTCAGGAGCTCAGTGACTCCAAGCGTGGTCCCGTGATAGGTGGCCACCTGGGCAATAAGTCCATCCGTGACATTTCCTGGCTACTAAATATTCCACGCTCAACTGTTAGTGGGATTATAACAAAGTGGAAGCCACTGAGAACAACAGCTACTCAGCCACCAAGTGGTAGGCCACGTCACATGACAGGGCGGGGTCAGCGCATGCTGAAGCGCACAGTGCGCAGAAGTCACCAACTGTCTGCAGAGTCAATAGCTAAAGACCTCCAAACTTGGTGTGGCCTTCAGATGAGCCCAACAACAGTGCGTAGAGAGCTTCATGGAATGGGTTTCCATGGCCGAGCAGCTGCATCCAAGCCTTCCATCACCAAGTGCAATGCAAAGCGTCGGATGCAGTGGTGTAAAGCACGCCGCCACTGGACTCTAGAGCAGGGGAGACGTGTTCTCTGGAGTGACCAATCACGCTTTTCTGGCAATCCAATGGTTGTGTCTGGGTTTGGCGGTGGCCAGGAGAACTGTACTTGCCTGACTGCATTGTGCCAAGTGTAAAGTGTGGTGGAGGGGGGATTATGGTGTGGGGTTGTTATTCAGGAGTTGGGCTTGGCCCCCTAGTTCCAGTGAAGGGAGTGATGGAGTCACTGGATGAGACTTCTGAGAAAAAGGAGAAATTGAGGAATGTTTTTCAGAAACTTCTGACAAAGAGAGGAGATGGAGGAAAGAGTCCAGAGTCTGCAGGAACACAGGAGGAAAGTAGAAGAAGAAGCAGCTGGTGACACCGAGAGAGTCACTGCCCTGTTTAGAGATCTCAGGAGACATCTGGAAGACCTGGAGAAGAGAGTCCTGAGGGAAATCTCCGGGAGGGCAGAGCAGGTCTCCATCTTCATCCGGGATCTGGAAATAAAGAAGGAGGAGCTGTCCAGGAAGATGCGTGACATTGAGGAGCTGTGTAACATGACGGATCCACTGACTGTCCTACAGGAATCAGACACAGGTGACTTGTGTGATACTGAGGATGGAGATAATGAGGACAGAGAGAGACATGAGGAACTCCTCCATGATGGAGGGGGGGCTGGATGTGGCTGGGATATCACACACATTACACACATTATCTGATATAATAACAGAGGGAAATGTATCCTTCTATATACAGGGAGCTGAGGACATATTACTGGATGGAAACACAACTCATAATAATCTACATATATCAGATGACAGGAAAACTGTATCCAGGTCAGATAGAAACTAGAATCGTCCAGAAACTCCAGAGACATTTCAGGATTGTCCTCAGGTGTTGCGTTTCTCCTCAGGGAGACATTACTGGGAAGTGGATGTCAGGATCAGATGGATGGAGAGTCGGGATGTGTTACCCCAGTATAGAGAGGAGAGGACAGCAGTCTTGGATTGGATGGAATAACAAGTCCTGGGGTTTGTACAGAGATAATGGTCTGCGTAGGACGATACAAAACAGCAATAAAGTCCATTTATCCACCAATCCCCCAGTACCAGAGTCAGGATATATCTGGATTATGAGGCCAGGCGGATCTCCTTTTATGATCTGTGTGACCTGATCCAACACCTTCACCACCTTCACTGAGCCCCTCCATATTGGGTTATGTGTATGGGGAGGTTGTATAAAAATATGTGGAGGGAACCAGGAAATGAAAGAAATCTGGCCAGAGACCGGTGACATCACAAGGAGAATGCCCAGTGCCAAGTAACTCAAGCAAGAGCAAGCTGTTGCAGCAGGCCCTGCTAAGAAGACAGAAGGCACCCAGCAAAACGTGAAGGAACCAAAGCAAAGGGCATCCAAACTAGGATGGTCTCAAGCAATGGCCAGAGGTCATCCTCAGGACTTGAGAAGGACTCTACAATGCCATCTGGGGGGGCACAGCTGAGACAGCCTCAGGGCAAAAGTCGGCAAATAGGAAGGGCAATACTGTTGGGGCTACTAAGTTGGAGCAGGGGTTTTCTGACCCTTTGGGGGGACAACCTGTGGTGAAGAATCATAGCTGTAGCTGCCAGGCATCAGGGGTTTTCCAGAAACACCAGAAAGATTTCAGGATTGTCCTCAGGTGTTGAGCAGTCGGTGTTTCTTCTCAGGACGATATTACTGGGAAGTGGATGTCGGGGGATCACATAGATGGAGAGTCGGGATGTTTTGAAGAATCGTAGCTGTAACTGCCAGGCATCAGGACGGAAACTAGAGCAGGTATCTGCTGCAATGCCAGCAGTGGCTTCTACCAAGATAGTCCTGAACCCCAGATTGACAAGTTCCAGGAGGAGCTGCAAGGGCCACACTTTTCCATCCTGCTTCCCAGAGGACCAAGGACATGGAGGAACTTATGGTGGAGGAGTCTGGCATGAAGGGACCTAAAGACCAGAAAACCAAGGGCAGCGTAGAGGGAAAGGAGCTGAACAGCACCTGAGAGGAAAGTGATGAGGAGACTGCAAGTCCTGCAGGGAAATGTCTAAAGAGGGAGCCTGCTGCATTACAGAGAAGGATCTCAGGATACAGTTCCAATGAAGGAGGAGTTCAGTGCTTGGCAGAGTTGGCATATACTTCTGCCTCAAACCAGGTCAACATCGGGGGGGGTTGAGGTTCCCCCACTGGAAATTCAAACTTGTAAGATATCTCCACTGGAGGAACTTCAGTCTCTGAAATCGACTCTACCTCAAGGAGGCCATTGTGATGTCTTCTTTTCAGGTTGACTCTCAAATGCAAGGCTTTTAGGAAGCTCAGTCAGAAAGGCTTCTTTGTTTTCCTATCTTGGGACTCTGAACTTTGATCTGAGTTTGCTTCAAGAATGTGGTATTGAGAATAGCATGGACTATAGCAATCTGAAGAAGGACTGGACATTCGGGTCTCCTGTTCTTAAAGTATAACTTAAGGCAAACCATTTGTTTTTAGTTTTGGATGCAGTGGGGAGAGAGTAGAACCCCTGTCAGGTTTGTATTGCTGTCTGTGTCCCAACAGGGAGATTCACCCTCTCTATTTGTCCTGTTCACCATTATCAGGGAAATTGAAAGAAAAGGGAAATCCCCAAAATATGGGTTGTCCCCAGACCACTAATAGAGGGGAAATCTTCCGATGGGGACACATAGGTACCAAACACGTCATTTAAAAACTGTGCATGCCTGTGAATTATTGAACAGCAACGGTACCCGAAATTGTCCACAGGCGATGTTTTAGACGTCCTTACAGGTTGTTAAAATAGAGTGAACTGGAAGCTATGGCCCCAGAACTGAGGTGTCAAACTCATCTCATTGTGGGCCACGTCAGCATTATGGTCGCCCTTCAACCCCTTCCATACCGGGCACTTTTACCCCCTTCCTGCCCAGGCCCATTTCCAGCTTTCAGTGCTGTCACACTTTGAATGACAATTGCGCGATCATGCAACACTGTACCCATATGAAAATTTTTATCATTTTTTTTGTGACAGATAGAGCTTTATTTTGGTGGTATTTAATCACCTCGAGGTTTTTTCATTTTTTCTTAAACAAACCAAAAACCACTGACAATTTTGAAAAAAAAATTTTTTTTTCTTAGTTTTTGTTATAAAATTTTGTAAATAAGTGATTTTTCTCCTTCACTGATGTGCGCTAATGAGGCTGCAGTGATGGGCACTGATAGGCTGCACTGATGGACTCTGATAGGTGGCACTGATGGGCACAGATGAGGAGGCACTGGTAGGTGGCACTGATAGGCATTGACAGGCATCACTGATGGGCACTGAAAGGCAGAACTCATATATGGCACTGATAGGTGGCACTGATAGGCTGCACTGATGAGCACAGATGAGGAGGCACTGGTAGGTGGCACTGATGGGAATTGACAGGCAACACTGATGGGCACTTTAAGGCAGAACTCATATATATGGCACTGATAGGTGGAACTGATAGGCGGCACTGACTGGCACTGATAGGCGGCACTGATTGGCACTGTTAGGTGGCACTGATGCACACTGATAGGCGGCACTGACTTGCACTGATAGGTGGCACTGATTGGCAGCACTGATAGGTGTCACTGACTGGCACTGATAGGTGTCACTGATGGGCACTGATAGGTGACACTGACTGGCATTGATAGGTGGCACTGATGGGTGACACTGAAAGGCAGCTCAGATGGGCACTGATATGTGGCATTGATGTGGCACTGATTAGCACTGACAGCTGGCACTGATGGACACTAACAGGTGGCACTGCTGAGGCTACACAGATCATCAGGGCACACTGATCATCAGTCCCCTGATGATCAGTGCACATGTCCCCTCTGAGGGATGCCGATTACCGGCTCTCCTCTGTCAGCGTGCCACCTCGTGAGGAGAGAAATGCCGATAACTGGCATTTCCCTATTTACATGTGATCAGCTGTGATTGAACACAGCTGATCACATGACTGAGCCAACATCTTCGGCTCTTTCCGTTGATCGGTGATTCACTGTGTCCGAGGGAGCCACGCATGCGCGGTGAGAATGGGAGGACGTCATATGACATCCTCCCAGAATGAGAGAACTACCTTGCGCCCGTCATATTACTATATGGAGGGCGGGAGGTGGTTAATCACCACTGGGGTTTTTTATTGTTTGCTAAATTAACAAAAAAAGACTGAAAATTTTGAAAAAAAAAAAAAAACATGTTTCTTTGTTTCTGTTATAAACGTTTGCAAATAAATAATTGTTCTTCATAAATTTACGCCGAGATGTATTCTGCTACATGTCTTTGGTGAAAATAACCCAAATCAGTATTTATTATTTAGTTTGTAGGAAAGTTATAGAGTTCACAAACTATGGGATATATCTGAAAATTGATCAATCCTGAAGTACTGACAGCCAGTCTAATTTCTTGAGGTCCAAGAATGTCAGAACAGTACAGATATCCCCCAAATGTCAGAACAGTATAGATATCCCCCAAATGTCAGGACGGTACAGATATCCCCCAAATGTCAGAACAGTACAGATATCCCCCAAATGTCAGGACGGTACAGATATCCCCCAAATGTCAGGACGGTACAGATATCCCCCAAATGTCAGGACGGTACAGATATCCCCCAAATGTCAGGACGGTACAGATATCCCCCAAATGTCAGAACAGTACAGATATCCCCCAAATGTCAGGACGGTACAGATATCCCCCAAATGTCAGAACAGTACAGATATCCCCCAAATGTCAGGACGGTACAGATATCCCCCAAATGTCAGGACGGTACAGATATCCCCCAAATGTCAGGACGGTACAGATATCCCCCAAATGTCAGGACGGTACAGATATCCCCCAAATGTCAGAACAGTACAGATATCCCCCAAATGTTAGGACGGTACAGATATCCCCCAAATGTCAGAACAGTACAGATATCCCACAAATGACCCCTTTTTGCAAAGTAGACAGTCCGACGTATTTCATTAGAGGCATGGTGCGTTTTTTATAGTTGTAATTTTTTGGTAATAAGTTTTCGGAAAATGAAGAAATTAAATACATTATTTTAACAATTTTTTTTTAATATACTGTCACCAGTGCAGTACAGCGTCATCATATAACTGGTGTGGGACACTGACTGGTGACAGTACAAAAAATGATAATTTTTTTATTTATTTATTTTTTTAATACTTTTTTTTTTTAAGATTTTTTTTCATATTGCACTATGACCAAAGTAGTATAATGTTCCCATAGTAACATTGTACTACTATGGGGAAGTGATCAGTTTTTTTACACAATTTGATTGAAAGGAAGCCATCCATTGTATACAACTGATTGGTCACTGCAGGTCACATGGTACTGGCAACAGGGGCCGGTCACAGATCTGTCACCGGCTGTGTCCAAGGTACATGGTTGGTGACAGATCTTTGCACAGCACGGCCCTGTGGGCACAAACAAAGTGCGATCCGGGAAGGACATCCTATGGCGCCCTCCCGGAGGGACGAAGTGTTCGCCCGGCCGTCATTTGACCAAAGGCCGGGCCAGGAAGTGGTTAAAGGGCCGGCTGTATCTGTAAGACTATATAAATATATCTACACTTTATCATATTAAATAATTGCCTCTGCATGCGATGATTACTGATTTTAGTGATTTAGGACCTAGGCTGTGAAGGGTAGACCGGCACAGAGCCCGCTCACACTTCTGTAGCAGATGAAAAGGAGGACTGCACACCGCTGGTATCATCCACAAGAAACTGATCAGACATAACCTGGTTCTGCCATGGTCTGAGCAGTCTCCAATGACGTTTCAAGGGTCCCCCACCCACCCTTACCTTGTACTGCTGCCGGGAAGAAGTTGGGGGCAGAGTTGGGAAGCAGGAAGTGCAGGGTCTGGAAGAGGAATAGAGGAGGGCTGGAGTCAGCTGTCGGAGTCTGCTGAATGCTAGGTCCAGAGGAGGTGGAGCCAAGGGGGTGCTGCGGCTGCACAGAGAGGTGCAGGATCAGTAAGAGGAGTTCTGTCTTCATCTCTGCTGCTCACTGCTGAGACAAGTTGGGACCGAAGGTGAGGGGGGTGCTGCCGCAGCAGCAGGAGAGGTGTCAGGAATGGACTCGCCAATAGTGGTGGGACTCACCTGCCTTGTGGGTTGCAGTACCAGGACTGACCAGCGGGTGCTCTCAGCAACCAGCGGCTCACTCCGGCAATTAGCCACCACCTGGGGCTGATTGCAGGTGGTGTATTTAAGGGATGGCCAGACCTGCAGTCTGCGCCTTGTTGTACTGTTTGCTTGGCCCTGGTTTCCTGATCCTGTTACTTCTGTCCTGACGCTGCTTGAACTCTGCCTGTACTGACCTCGGCTAGTCCTGACCACTCTCCCGCCTGCTCCTGGTACTCCGTTTGCCCGTTTGCTACCGACCCGGCCTGCCTGACTACTCTTGTATTGTATGTTTATCTGTTGGAGGTTTGGTTGTTTTTTTGCACTGTGTTATGTTTAGTTTTGCACTGCGTTTGTATTGTTAGTCTTAATAAATTATATTATTTACTATATCTGAAGCCTGCGTTTCCCTGTGCCAGTCCACACACTTCTGGTCTTACCCGCATCCCTGACATTAGGGGCAAGCACCACATAAAATGGCCTTGCAGGCTGCTGAGATATGGGGGGGGGGGCAGAGACAAGCCTTTCTGCAGCTGCACAGAGAAGCTCAGGATCTGTCAGAGGAGTCCAGTCCTCTTCTCTGCTGCTCACTGCTGAGACAAGTTGGGGCTGGAGGCGAGGGGGGTGCCGCCGCAGCAGCAGGAAAGGGGCAAGGACCACATAAAATGGCCTTGCAGGCTGCAGCCAACTACTGAGATATGGGGGGGGGTGAAGAGACAAGCCTCTCTGCAGCTGCACAGAGAAGCTCAGGATCTGTCAGAGGAGTTCAGTCCTCTTCTCTGCTGCTCACTTCTTTCCCTCTTTTCTTCTTTCTTTTTATACATCTCACTTTCTTTCTCTGTCTCCTGTTTCTCTCCTTTTTCGTTCTCTCTCTGTCTCCTGTTTCTCTTCTCTTTCTTTCTTTCCTTCCTTCCTTCCTTCCTCCTTTCCCTTCTTCCTTCTTTCCCTCTCTCCTTCTTTCCCTCCTTTCCCCTCCTTTTCCCTACCCCTCCTTCCTTCTTTCCCTCCTTCCTTCCTTCTTTCCCTCCTTCCTTCCCCCTTTCCCTCCTTCCTTCTTTCCCTCCTTCCTTCCTTCTTTCCCTCCTTCCTTCCTTCTTTCCCTCCTTCCTTCCCCCTTTCCCTCCTTCCTTCTTTCCCTCCTTCCTTCCCCCTTTCCCTCCTTCCTTCTTTCCCTCCTTCCTTCTTTTTGTAAGGAGCCTATCCTCATACTTCACAAAGACAAGATTCTCTTCTGCCCATTATCATTCTTTCTTCCCAAGGCAGTATCAGTCTTCCCATCAATGAGGTCACAGTCCTACCATCCTTATGCCCAGGGGCGGACTGACCATTTGGGAACTCGGGCACTGCCCGAGGGCCCGGGGTCAGTAGGGGGCCCCATGAGATGCCCCTGGTACCTTTCATAGGCTTTTTTGGGTGTGATTTGAGTGTGGGCTAGGACACAGGGGCCCCATGATCCCCTATTGCCCGGGGGCCCTATGAGTTGTCAGTCCACCCCTGCTTATGCCCTGCTCCAAAACATCCAAAGGGTATCTCTCTTCATTCTCTGGACATTATCAGAACCTTTCGAATCCACCTAAAAAGCTGCAGCCTTGCTCAGACAGATTCCATGTTTGAACATAAGTCCAAGGAAGGGATCTGCAACTCCGTACTATGCTGAATAAAATCTTCTGTATTACATGGTCCACAGGAAAACACCAGCCTAATACAAAAATGCCGCATTTCAGGCTTGGTAGGCTTTAATCAAGCCTGTTTGTCCCAACCTCAGGACTTCGCCAGGGGCATCCTGCTTCCAAATCCACCTTCTCCAGATGGATAAAAAAAATTGATCACTAGAGCCTACACTCTAGAGCAGCCTTTCTCAGCCAGGGTGCCCAGGCACCCTGGGGTGTCTTGAGGTTTCTTCAGGGATGCCTTGGCAAAATGTCTAAAAGGTTTCCAAAACTTGTATACAAGCCAGCGGGTGGAAGAAGCCTGACTTTTAGTTACACAAAGCCACAGGTCTTCATTGTGCGCCATTACGACCCTCTAGCCATCGGCGTCCTGACAAACAATGACATCATCAGTTGATATGGAGGATATCAGTTGCTTGCACAGCATTCTTGTTTGACCCTCCCCCGCCCCTCTCCGTCAATGCTGGGGTCACCTTAGCTCAGTGATGGAGAAAAACTGAGGGAGAAGAGAAAATACTGAAATACCACTCAGTTCCAGGGTGCAAAAGTGTATTAGCTTTGGAAGAATAAATCACCTCTAATGTTGGGTGTCCTACATGTGTGGATGTTGCTGCGTTATATAAAATTAGTTCTTTACATTTTAAAATGGGGTGCCTCGGGACTGTCCATAATTTTAAAGGGTGCCTCGGGACTGTCCATAATTTTAAAGGGTGCTTCAAGACTGTCCGTAATTTTAAAGGGTGCCTCGGGACTGTCCATAATTTTAAAGGGTGCCTCGGGACTATCCATAATTTTAAAGGGTGCCTCGGGACTGTCCATAATTTTAAAGGGTGCTTCAAGACTGTCCGTAATTTTAAAGGGTGCCTCGGGACTGTCCATAATTTTAAAGGGTGCCTCGGGACTGTCCATAATTTTAAAGGGTGCCTCGGGACTGTCCATAATTTTAAAGGGTGCCTCGGGACTGTCCATAATTTTAAAGGGTGCCTCGGGACTGTCCATAATTTTAAAGGGTGCCTCGGGACTGTCCATAATTTTAAAGGGTGCCTCGGGACTTTCCATAATTTTAAAGGGTGCTTCAAGACTGTCCGTAATTTTAAAGGGTGCCTCGGGACTGTCCATAATTTTAAAGGGTGCCTCGGGACTGTCCATAATTTTAAAGGGTGCCTCGGGACTGTCTGTAATTTTAAAGGGTGCCTCGGGACTGTCTATAATTTTAAAAAGGTGCCTCGGGACTGTCCGTAATTTTAAAGGGTGCCTCGGGACTGTCCATAACTTTAAAGGGTGCCTCGGGACTGTCTGTAATTTTAAAGGGTGCCTCGGGACTGTCCATAATTTTAAAGGGTGCCACAGGACTGTCCATAATCTTAGAATTTGCCTTGACTGAAAAAAGGTTGAGAAATACTGCTCTAAAGGACAAGTCTCCTCCTGCATTTTAACACACACATTCCACCAGATCCATGAAAGTTTCCTGGGCAATTCGGCACCAGTCCTCCATAGCCACCACCTGGTCCTTTGTTCATTCCTTCACAAAGTTCTACCAGGTAGAAGTCTAATCTTCCGCGGATGCAGCGGCACTCTCACGTTGGGTCTGTTAACCTTTGTGGTTGTTGGACCCGTTGGCACAGTTCTGTTTGCCCACCCTTATTTGTTGCTTGGGGATGTCCAAGGGTTATGAACACATTATGGTGTCCCATACAGGACACAGGTCACTCTCTTTTCCATTCCTTAGTCGGCATTGCTTGCTACAAAACCGAGGACTCACAGAGTGGGGTAGGGTTATAGTAAAGGTACCATTGGCTGTGCCCTCAAAAGCTTGCCAGTGTCCAATCACCTGAAGATCTGAGCCTATAACCCAGGGTCTATGATTACTTAGCCAGTGTCCTTTACTGTACTCCAAGATAAGGAATTTGCAAGTCAAAAATTCATTTTTTTTGGCTTCTCCAAGTCCGTTTTGTATATTACCATATCATTTTCAGTGGTTTCATTGTCTCTAAAGAATACCATCACAATTCTCTGCATGTCGGGGGTGTTGGCACAGTAGTTAAGACATATTTTGCCGGTACAAAGGAAGTATATAATGTGAATGTTCTCAAAGTCTATATAACCACACCCCTTTTCAGCCTCGTCCACCTTTCACCTCCGTGGACTTAGTGCGCCTCATTACTACTCTATACCTGATTTGCTAAATTTCTTTCCTACATTTGGCAGATATGATTATTTTTCCTGAGGAAAAGGCATCTTCTGTGCTCTAATCCTGTCAGGTATGACTGATCTGGCCCAGACTTGTCGATTGCGATACACCCAAATGCATTCTTCCGCAGTTTCACTTTCACTATCATTACTCTCTTGTGCTAGGAGTGATGGCGACTACCGAGCTGAAATGTGTCATCTGTCTTGAAATTTATAGAGATCCTGTATGGCTGAGATGTGGACACAACTTCTGCTGGATCTGTATTGCTCGTGTTCTGGATACACAGGAGGGTTCAGGAGGATATTCCTGTCCTGAATGCAGAGAGAAGTTTCCGGATCGTCCTGCACTGCATAGAAACATGAGAATACGTAACAGAGTGGAGAATTTCCTGTCTGCTCAGCCTGATCAAGAGAACACTGGGGTCTTCTGTACTCACTGTGTGGACTCTCCTGTACCTGCTGTTAGATCCTGTCTACACTGTGAGGATTCTCTTTGTGAAAAGCACCTGAAAGCCCACAGCAGGTCCTCAGAACACATCTTAACTGACCCCACCTTGTCCATGGAGAGCAGGAAATGCTCCGTCCATAAGAAGATCCTGGAGTATTACTGCACTGAGGATGAGACCTGTATCTGTGCATCCTGCTGGCTGATTGGAGGACATAAAGGACATGAGATGGAGTCACTGGATGAGGCTTCTGAGAAGAAGAAGGAGACACTGAGGAATGTTTGGCAGAAACTTCTGACAAAGAGAGAGGAGATGGAGGAAAGAGTCCAGAGTCTGCAGGAACACAGGAGGAAAGTAGAAAAAAAAAAGCAGCTGGTGACACCAAGAGATTCACACTGCCCTGTTTAGAGATCTCAGGAGATGCCTGGAAGACCTGGAGAAGAGAGTCCTGAGTTTGACCTCTATGCAGGCAGAGTTGGTCTCTATCTCAACTTTGGTTCTGATCCAGGATCTGGAGATAAAGAAGGAGGAGCTGTCCAGGAAGATGCGTGACATTGAGGAGCTGTGTAACATGACGGATCCACTGACTGTCCTACAGGAATCAGACACAGGTGACTTGTGTGATACTGAGGATGGAGATAATGAGGACAGAGAGAGACACAAGGAACTCCTCCATGATGGAGGGGGGCTGGATGTGGCTGGGATATCACACACATTACACACATTATCTGATATAATAACAGAGGGAAATGTATTCTTCTGTATAGAGGAAGCTGCAGATATATTACTCGATTTGAACACTGCAAGTAATAAGCTCCAAATATCAGATGACAGGAAAACTGTATCCAGGTCACATATAGACCAGAATCGTCCAGAAGCACCAGAGAGATTTCAGTATCCTCAGGTGTTGAGCAGTCGGAGTTTCTCCTCAGGGAGACATTACTGGGAAGTGGATGTCGGGGGATCTGGTGGATGGAGAGTCGGGATGTGTTACCCCAGTATAGCGAGGAGAGGACGGCATTCAGGGATTGGATATAATAACAAGTCCTGGTGTTTGTACAGGGATGGTGGTCAGCGTAGAGTGATACACGATAGTAATAAGATCCTCTTACCCTCCAATCCCCCCAGTCCCAGAGTCAGGATATATCTGGATTATGAGGCCGGGCGGATCTCCTTTTATGATCTGTGTGACCCGATCCGACACCTCCACACCTTCACCACCACCTTCACTGAGCCCCTCCATGCTGGGTTAGGTGTATGCAGAGGTTGGATAAAGATATGTGGGGGGAATCAGGAGAAGAGAGAAATCTGCCCAGAGACAGGTGACATCACAAGGAGAATGCCCAGTTCCAAGAAGCCTGAGAAAGGGCAAACTGTTGCAGCGGGCCTTACTAAGAAAACAGAAGGTACTCAGCAAAAAGTGATTCAGGAACCAAAGCGAAGGGCTGCTGCATTACAAGCGATAGTCCTAACTAGGATAATCTCAAGTGATGGTCGGAGGGCATCAGTTGGGGCTGAGTGCGCTATGTCTGAGGTTGTGGAGGAGTCCCCCAGAGTCCATCATAGATCATCCTCAGGACTCGGTCAGGGCTCTCCCTTTCCTTCTGGTAAAGAGATGGCAAATAGGAAGGGCAAGACCTTTGAGACTACTGATTTGGAGCAGGGGTTTTCTGCCCCTTTGAGCGGGGAAGCTGTGGGGAACAATCCTATCTCTAGCTGCCAGGAGTCAAGGGGAAAACCAAACCAGGATCCTGCTTCAATGCCAGCGACGGCTTCTGCCAAGAAAGTCCCTGATCCCCAGCCTAAAGAGTTCTTGGAGAAGAAAGCTGCAAGGACCCAAATGTTCCATCCTGCTGCCAAGAGGAACAAGGTCCCAGAGAACCCCATGGAGGACTCAGACGCTGAGGGACCCAGTGGCCAGGAAACCTGGGGCAGCATAGAGGGAAAGGAGGCAAGCAGCACCCAAGAGGAGAGCGATGGGGAGACTGCAAGTTCTGCAGGGAAGCGTCTAAAGACTGAATTACCGAGAATAATTTCAGGATACGACAAAGGAAGAATTCTGGGCCATGCAGAGGTGACATATTCTTCTGCCTGGGACCCAGTCAACACTGGTGAGCTTGGGCTCCCTCTAGCCATCGAGACTCGTAGAATGTCTCCAATGGAGGAACTTAAGACTGAAATGAACTCTACCTCAAGTAAACCAACATGATAACCTCCTTTTTCGAGATGCTTTGCTTCGCTCAAGGCTTTGAAAGAGCCCAGCCAGAAGGGCTGCTTTGCTTTTATATCTTGGGGGCTCCGAACTTAGATTTCCGGTTGCTTCAAAAATATGGTATTGGGAATGGCATGGACTATAGAAATCTGAAGAAGGACCGACTGGACATTTCATAGACGTGATCCTGATCTCAACCCAAACTGTACATCTTACCCGCTGCAGCATTCTATTCGTAAACTGAAGGATTCCTGGAAGGAGCTTTTACCAGGGGACCCACGGTCATACCTGGCCCAATGACAGCGTGAGTTCCAGAATCGATTTTATTCATTTATCAGACGATTTTAACCTTTTATATGCAATCTTTTTACTAATCTTTTCTCGAATCACAAGCTTCGTTTAGTCCATTTCAAAGTAAAGTGTTATTAACCCCCCCCCCCCCCCCCCCCCAAAAAAGTATTATTTTGCATATTACCAATTCTTAGGTGTGGTGGCTACATTTGTTTGTTTTAATTCTTTAGGATCTTTCTTTAGAGGTTTTTTTATTCCTGGGGAAGGAGCCCAGAGAGGACAGGCTGCTGATATGAAATGTAGGAAGTTCTGGCGTTTCAGGGATTTTATTAAAAGTGCATCTATTTCTATTATATAAAGGAGCTTTTATTACATATATATTGCCTGCTTCCCGGGGGAGGGTCATTGTAGATTTTATTATAGATTTTTATATAGAAAAGGTGATAAGGGGCCTATGATGGTCATGAAGGTACAGGCCTCAGCCATGGTCTTCTAGTCCATTTATTGTACGGCCTATACAGTATATGGACTAGCAGACCATGGCTGAGGACAGGGCCACCTTAGCTGAGGTCGGGGGGCACCATTGCTGAGGTCGGGGGGCACCATGGCTGAGGTCGGGGGGCACCATGGCTGAGGTTGGGGAGCACCATGGCTGAAGTCAGGGGCACCTTGGCTGAGGTCGGGGAGCACCATGGCTGAAGTCGGGGGGCACCATGGCTGAGGTCGGGGAGCACCATGGCTGAGGTCGGGGGGCACCTTGGCTGAGGTTGGGGAGCACCATGGCTGAAGTCGGGGGCACCTTGGCTGAGGTCGGAGAGCACTATGGCTGAGGTCGGGGGGCACCTTGGCTGAAGTCGGGGGCACCTTGGCTGAGGTCGGGGAGCACCATGGCTGAGGTCGGGGGCACCTTGGCTAAGGTTGGGGGGGCACCTTGGCTGAAGTCGGGGGCACCTTGGCTGAGGTCGGGGAGCACTATGGCTGAGGTCGGGGGGCACCTTGGCTGAGGTCGGGGGAGCACCTTGGCTGAGGTCGGGGGGGCACCTTGGCTGAGGTCGGCGGGGCACTTTGGCTGAGGTGGGGGGCACCTTGGCTGAGGTCGGGGGGGGGGGCACCTTGTTTGAAAACTGTTATTGATAAGTTAACCCCTTAATGCCTGAAGGTAAATAACATCTGAACGCAGTTTTGCAACTTTGAAACGTGATAATAAAATTTTACACATCGCTACAGTGTTGTCGTCCTAGATTATTCTTTGTCTTTTTTTTAAAAAAAAATTGGATCATCATTTTTTGATAAACGGTCTTGGATATTGCCTGATTTATTTTTTTTTATTGTCAAAGGAAAATTGGCTAAGAGCAGTGTCACGGATCCACCCACATGCCACGCCCACAGCGACTAGCTAACCGAGGTGTGCACATGCGGCCGTGACTGGGGGTAAGAGGGAATAAAGGGGACTGAACTTTGAATATATCAAACCGTATATAAGATCAGCCGTGACACACTTTCACAGCCCGCACTACCTTTTGGCCACCACCAGATGGAGACTCCAATCCAGCTGGTCGACCACACACACTGGCAGATACAAATCTTATATACAATCTGGTGCACTGATTAGAGTTGAGGACCAGCTTTGTAATGACACACCCTTCTAAGGTCCCTCCAGCTATCCTACAGCTTGAACCCCGGAGTTAATCACTCTTCCACTGTCCATACACCCCCACACCAGACACACCACAAACGGTAGCTTTCCACCACCCAACAGTTTATCCGCAGAACGGTCTGCTGGGACACCCCACACACACAGATCTCCGTCTGGCCGATCTGTTACCTTTGCAATCTGCATACAATCTGCCCACACACAGTGCAATTGCATACAGATTGGCAATGAGCTTGACCGAGTGTTTAAAGGCACTAAAATACAATACAATATAACCCAATCTAATCTCTCCAATCTAATCTCTCCAATCTAATCTCTCCAATCTAATCTCTCCAATCTAATCTCTCCGAAGATATGAGCCTTAAATACACAGAAGTCACTAATTAATTTTAAGCTTTAATTTCCCGAAGTTGGCAGTGCATAAAATATGTACAAAATATAAAAAGTTACAGAAATGCAAAAAATACAAGAAGACACACAAATGACTATTCACTATGAAATAAAAGGGAATAAAAAACAATAAAACTTTTACCGAGATTTACCCTGCGACTGGAGCAAGTCTGGGAGAAACAGCAATCCGTTAGTCGATCAAACTGGCTTCATACGAATCACAAATGTCCCAATGCCCAGGTACTCCTTTTATGGGGATATGGACGTAGGCGGGACATTAGTCCTCGGCCAATTGACCCTGGGAGCTGCTCTTTTACCTGCCCACAGGATGTTCTGGGTGCTAAACTGCCCAAGTTCAATCGGACCAAGACCGGCTTGAAACACCAAGTCGGGGATTGGATTTCCGACACCAGCGCATCAGTCCGATCGCGACAGTACCAAACACCATTCGACTGTCGCCATCCAGCGCCACCTAACCATTTCCTGCATTTTCCTGGCCTTCTACCTAAGCCACAAATATGATTTTTAGGTGTCGATGTGACCCACAGAATGCCCTACAAGAAGGAATCATTTCCATCTCTCTGCAACTAATATTTTAGCTTTTATGAGAGATTAAACATACCCCTTTGATGTATGTAGACACTTTTAGCTCCCCAGACAGATCAAACCCCCTGCCGTCATGAAGCCGAAATGTCTCCAGCCACTTCCTTTAAACCGGTTTCAACAGAAGGTGACAAAACCTTATTTAGCACTGTAGGCGTCACATCCAGGAATGCCGGGCTTTTCGGGTGCTAACTGATGAGCCTCTGTGTCTGAGTACCTCATTTCCCCCAATGACAAGGACTGAATATTTATTTAATCTACTCAAATCTGTACATTTATGTCACATGTATGTTACATCATGTCACATGTACGTTACATCATGTCACATGTACGTTACATCTCCCCTCTTCCAGACGACGCATAGCTGAGCCTAATTGGGCCGGCTAATGCGTCTGCCAGGAAGGTTCCCTAGGCTGGGGGGGTTGTTCTCCCAACTAAAGCTTGACACCGCTGACAGCTAAGCCCGTCCCCCTGCCGATGGGAGAGGACTCCTGTACAGCTCTCTGAACTGATCACAAAGGGTTTGGGTCACCAGTGGCCAGCAGATCACCCCGCAGATCCATTTCATCCACTGGCCACCGACTATCTACTGGACGGGTACAGGCAAATCTGTCATTGGGTGCTGTCATCATTTCCAGCCACTGGCCAGGGTCACCTGGTGGTTCTCTATTGGCTGCAACACCCAGATGCCTGAGCCTGGCATAAGGTCGTTCCTGGCTGATCTGGACCTGGTTCCATGGCTTGGATACTAGAACTTCCACCCTCTGTCCCGTCTCCCACACTTCTGCTCTTTCTGCCTCAGCCAGAGACTGGTCAGCACAACCCCTGAGTTCCTCCGGGCTGACATACAACCTATCAGCCTGTGAGAATACAGTGTTGTCAGATCCAGCCTCTGAGAAAGCAGATTCCAAGGGGGTCAGTGTTCCCCCATCATCCTGTGATCCTCCCCATGCTGTGCACAGCAACGAATCCTCAATCATGATACTCATAGCTATGGGGACAAAGAATAGATCCACAGAAGACTTTATTCCACCAGAAGTCATCCTCTGACCCGTGCCACGCCCTTCTACTCTGCCCTCCTCCGCAGAACATCTGTCAGCACCACCCCTGAGCTCCTCTGGGCCAACATCAAACCTATCAGCCTGCAGGAATGC